AAGAAAATAGAAAAACAAGACAACTCTTTTGGACGGATGGATTAATTTTTTTGTCCCAAACGAGAGTATAAATTTGATTTTTTTTATTATAAATTAAAAAATAATACTCACTCGTTTCGTCAAAATTATTTTTATTTTTTTTTGTCCGTCCGTTAAATTTATTTAATTACTATATTTGTATAATTAAAAAATCAATATTTAAATATTATCCTTCATTCAACACTTATTTACGACAAATACCACTGTATTCTCTCTTAATTCTTTTTAATTACTAAATAAAATTTCAAAAATACCCCAAATTACAGTTTAATTTTTTTTTTCACTTTTCAATAAAATATTTATTTTTCTTAATTTCATGGGCATTTTTTGCTGATGGAGAATAATATCTTATTGGTTAGTAGAAGTGTACAGGATGATTTTAATATTTTTGTCATTTGTATACATAATAGTATATTTGTAGTAAATGTACAAATTAAAGATATTTTAATATTTGTATATAATTATTTTTAGTGTTATAAATTGGACACTTTCGACTAAGACACACAAAAATAAAATATATATATTTAATTGAAACGTAGAAAAATTTTTAATATACTATTTTATAAAATGAAAATAATTACTGTTTTTAGAAATATAAATTAAAATAATAAAAAAGTGTGTAAAACTTGAAAATAAAAATGAATGATAAATAGGAGTAGTGGTTGGTTAAGAAAACACGTTGGCCTAATAAAGTGTGCTTATTATATAATGTTTGAATTGAATTTTGGAATTTGATAACGATAAATTTTAAATTAAAATATTGTTTAATATGATATAAAAAAATAATTTTATTAATAATAGATTAAAATAAAATTTAAATTTAATTTAATATAATAATTATTAAAAATAATGCATAAATTCAAAATCTACATATGACCTTAAAATAAAGATCCTAAATCATGTCGACGACAAGGAATACATACATCAACGTCATCCCTTACTATTTTAATTTCTAAACGTAACAATTCTTACCACAACCACCGTTACAATATTATTATATACATATATATATATATATATAAATGATGAGTCGGTGGTGTAGGGGTTGAATTTATGACCGTGAGGTCGGGGGTTTGAACCCCGACGCCTCAGGCCACCTGCTACATATGGTTGGCCTAGTGTTATTTATCCGTCGGACTTTGTTTGCAAAGTGTTAGATTAGGTTCAAATTGATTGAATATTATATTTTTTTTTTGTAAATTTTAACATTATTTATCAATAATAATTTTTTTTTTAATAAAAATTACATCAAATAACTTTTTATATCTCAAAACATTACATTAAAGCTTTTTATTATATTACTTCGTCCCACATCTTATCACATTTTTCATGTTTGTCCGTCCCATATATTAGGTCATTTTTTTTTTTTGAAAAAATATTTTACATTCAATTACTCCATCATTTCCATAAATATACTTTTAATTGGGTTGGACACGAGATTTAAGTTGGTAAAAAATATGGATAAAAGACGTTTTTGCCCTTGTGAATATATTAGTATAAAAAGCAGTGACAATTGTGTAATAAAAACGAAAAAGTATGAGTAGTTTTATAGTGATTTGATTATTTATGAAAATAAGACTATTGTTTTGGGATTAACAAAAATGGTAAACCAGACTATTGTATTGGGACGGAGGGAGTATATTTTAAATTTTATAATTTATAATTTTATAAATTTCTATTAGACTAATTAGCTATCTTGATCTTAATGTATAACTATTTGTATTATATTTTAATTAATTTTATTAATACATTTTTAATTATTTACTAATCATACATTTCATAAATTCTAGTGTCTACAGTAGATATGATACCATATTAGGATAAAAAAAATATTTTACATTTGAATTATATTTAAATTTTATAATTTATAATTTTTTAAATTTTTAATGAGTTATTTTAATTATAATATTTTATAAACTTTTAACATAATTTATCTACAATATGTTTAATTTTAAAAAATAGTAATACAACATTTTTTTTTTCTGAAAGAAAATAGTATTACATTAGATATATATACTATATATATATTCTCTTACAAAATATTTTACTCCTACTGTTACGGAGTAGATGACCCTTTTATTCCGAGCACAATTATTTACATAAGATAGATTAATAAGTTATAATATTATTTTACGTAATACTGTATTATTTTTATATGAATAAAGTTTTTGGTATTTTAAATATATAAATTAATATATATATATGATTAAAATAATAATATACATATATTATTTATAATACAAATAAATAAAAAAAAAATATATTTATAATTAATTTAAATATGTTTTATAGAACATTTGAAATTTAAACGTACATAAAAATATTTATTTATTAATTAATATAGATAAAAATAAAAAAATATTGTATCTTATATACAAAATATTAGAAATTTTAATTAAATTAATTTATATTTGTTAAATATATTTACAATAAATACAATATTTTTTAAAATAAAAAGAAATCATATAAAAAAATAAAAATTATCTTATGACAGTGGAGGGACGTAGGAAATATTATATATTAATTTTTTCAAAAACTTCTAAACTCCTAACAGTTGTCTAAACATAGCCTTATTTCTATCCTAATGTGAGCCTAAATTTTATTTATATGAGTGTGATTACTCATACGATTTTACAATAATACATTACCAATTAATTATTAAACATATATATATATATAAATAATATTTTTTTTTAGCATAATTTTTTCAAATTTTACTATTTGGACTATGCGTTTCTCCAACCTCTCACAAAATATCTCATCAAATATTATTTTCATGTCAAACTCAAACCAAATTTTTTTCAAACTCATCAAAAGAAACACACCCTATACTTCCGTCACTTAACACAATATATATTTTTCTATTTTTGTTTATTAACATACTCCCTCCTTCCCGCGAGGGATGAGCCCTTTTATTAGGGATACGGTTTTTTAGACAGTGTAAATTAGTAATTTATTAATAATAAGTTATGATATTGGTTTATTATTTTTTATATGAATAATATTATTGGTATTTTAAAAATTTTTAAGATTATATCTCGAAAAAATATATGCAATATGAATATCATTTTGTAGATTAGTTTTATAAAAAATGAGGAGTTTTAAATATAGATAAAAAAATTATGTTAATTGAGGAGAAAATAGAAATAAAGAGGTTTTGAATGAGTCGTACGGGTAAGATGCTAGAAGTTTAATTAAATTAATTTATATTTGTTAAGTACGTTTAAGATGGATAAAGTTACCAAAAATAGAAAGGGGTCATCTTTTGTGGGACGTATTAAAAAAAAAAGGTCATATGTGGCGAATGGAGTATTTAATATTAAAAATATCTTTACAATTAACAACATATTACATATTATTTGTTTTATATTACACAATATTAATATATTATTTTTCTCAATTTGTATTATAGTGTACAAATATAATATTACATCAATCCGTCAAATTTATGTCTAAATTTTCTTCTATTGTCCGCTCAACTTATGCATAATAAACTATTTTATCCCTATAATTCTATTACCTCTATTATAAGAAATAGTACTCCATCCGTCCTATAACAAAGTATAAATTTTTTATTTTAGTTCGTTCCATAACAAAATATTCATTTCATTTTTTAGTAACTGTACTGTACTGTCTACCTAACATTACAAATATTCTTGCAACTTACAGTATATTTGCCGTTACTTTTATATCACACATATTAATAAAGTTATTTTAGTTATTTCTATTTTATTTCTACTGTATCCCAATATAATATTAATATTTTTAAAATTATGTGAAAAAATAAATTGATATCTAATTATGGGACGAAGGAAGTAATAAATTTATCGCTTATATTTTTTCTTCTTTATACAACCAAAATTACATCAATTTTATTTTCCAGAAAAAGGAATACTCATATTTACAAAGTTCATGTGCAAAAATCAAACGAATAATTTTAAATAATAATAATAAAAAAAAACATTAATTTCTATTAACAATTTGCCGTATGTGTTTTTTTTTTTTTTTTTTTTCATATTCCCATCAAAACAACACCTTAAGGGTGTGTCAAATCAAATACTTATTTTTTTATTTTCATCTGTCCCGGTCCAAAGGAGCCCCGAGAGGTTTTGTAGTATATTAATAAATAATAATATTTTATTAGTTATTGGAAGTGCGTAAGAGGTTTTGAAGTTTTTTACCTTTGACTTTATGTAAAAAAAATAATTGTACGTGTAATAATATACTTGTAATTTAAATACAATTTAAAGGTATTTTGTTATTATGATATGATTACTTTTACTAAAATAGGAAATAGATACTTTGGAGCGAGACCGACGATAATTGTAAAAAATATATTTGAGTTGAGGCGAATGATATATTTTTTTTATATTATAATAAAAATTAAAATTTACATTTAAATTTATATTTAAATATTAGTATTATAATGAGTTGTAGTGAAAAAGACGAAGATACCGCTGTTAGTATTGTGTAATATAAAAGTAATGATATTTTATGTAATATAGTGTAAGTTAGAAAGATATTTATTATATTAATTAGGTAATACCTTGTTTTGTATGGATGAAAATGGAAAATGACAATCATTTAATGGGACGGAGGGAATATTAGTATTATAAGACACCGATGAAAATATTTTTGCAAAATATTACGTTTTGATATAAAAATTAATATTCAAATATCAACATAAAAAAATAAAAATAAAATAAAAATAAATAAGACCCTTAAAACAGAATATAATTCTAAAAATTAAATTTAAATATAAAGTATCACACGTTACTATTCTAATTCAAAATTTTCACTATTAAAATCCCATGCCCTAACTCAAGACCTCCAAACAAACACTCCCTAAACAAATCTATAATAATAGTAATAATAAAAAAACAGCATCATGGCATCATTATAATATCAAAAGACACATTCCAAAGGCAGTATACATATATTCAAATATTTTCACAGCTTTTTTGTACTCTGCTTACCAATTACAGCAATGATTGAGTTCCTTCCTGCGTGGTCCAACACCCACAAACCCTTTCATTTTATTATTAATTTGTTCGTCAGCAACCCAAATTTTTCATTTCCTTGCTCTTGATTATATATATGGTTAGTATTCAATCTGGAGGAGTTGCTGTCAACTACAGTTGAAATTCTTGGCACGACGGAGGGGGAGAGACCCGATATTAATCTTCTGCTGATGCCCGCAAACAAAGTCAAAATCAATCGAGGATTGCGGCCGCCCCGCCCTCTTGTGTCGGCCGCATCGGAGCTTCCGTTCCGGATACTGTTTCATTCACGTTTTGGGTAAATCCACCGCTGCTGCTGATTTTTGGTTGGTAACCGACGCCGGATGTAGTTTTGTGTACATATGTTTTTGATAATTTGTGGCGAATTTGAGTGTTGTGCTTGCATTTCCTGTGTTTTTGTTGTGGTTTTTGTGTTCGGTGCATTTTTTCCTCATAGTTCTAATCTGGTTGTGGCTGTTTGCTTTCGTTTTGGGGGTTTGAGAGGTGGAGTTGTCGTGGAATCGATTGGGGGCTTTTTTTTTTTTAATTTTTTTTTGTAGATTTTCAGTATGTTTTTGTGGTTAATGATTTGATTTGGAGTCGATTAACAATAACTTGAAGTTATCGAGAGTTGAGGTAAATTTTGGGATTTTGAATGTTGATATCCGTTAGTTTGCATATCTTGGATTTCTGTAGGTAAACCTATCCGGATTGAAATCTATCGATGTTCTGTAGTTATATCTTCATAAGGAATTTTGTCACTTTATTTTGAGAAAGTGAAGGTTCCTCCATGGATGGGTTTGTATCTTTCCCTTAGGAGCAGGAGACCTGAGTCCATAAGATTTGACAAACACACAATTTTATGGAGTCTTCAGTTCATTGAAGTTATGGTATACACTGTGTTTTAAGATTTAGGGTTCCTTAGGCAAGAGGAGGAAAGGAGATGGTTCCTCCTTATCTGCTTCTCAGATCTTGTTTGATGGTTGCTGTTCTCCCTCTGCAAGCTGAGATGTTCTGCTCAATGAAATTCGAAAAACTAAATCAGATTTGGTCTATTCTTGTTTGACACAGCTATGCTCCTGTGACTTGTAGAATTTGATGATTATTTCCTTGCCAAGATGATGTGAGTTCTGTTTAGTGTTTTGAAGGTGTTCAGTAGATCCATCTATATGATTTTTTACTTTTATCGTTATTGTTGTTATTATTATTTTTTATTGAAACTTGAAGTATTTAATTCTCCTATCTGCAAACATCTGAATCTATGTTCTGCTCAATGAAATTCTATAAAGCTAAATCAGATTGGTCTGTTCTTGTTGGACACAGCTATGGTCCTGTGACTTATAGAATAAGAATTTGGCGATTATTTCCTTGCCAAGATGATGTGATTTCTGTTTAGTGATTTGAGGTGTTCACTAGATCTATCTATATGACTTTTTATTTTTATTGTTATTATATTATTATTTTCGATTGAACTTGAAGTATTTAAACCTCCTATCTGCGAACATCTGATTCTGTTCAAGCCTTTCATTGTATCTATTTTACTAATTCATTGCACAATTCTTCACTGTTTATGATTCTGATAAGAGAAGAAAATGTGATCCAAGATGGTCTATTGCAGGTTTTTATTCTTTGGGCAAACATATATTGATATATCGGCATCAGGGGGACATGGGTGAATATTACTGTCGGAGGTTCAAGGGAACTAGGCATCAGCGTTACTGATTTGAATTTTCTCTGGAAGTTGCTTATTGTCTCGATAGAATCATTTCAATGTTCTAGTTGAAATGGAGGAGCGTAGTCCAGAAAAGGTTAATGATCAATTACCTGTCCATAGGAGTTGGATGGAGGGTATGGTTGCAGGATTGACAGATAGCATTTCACAAGACCCAAATATGGAAGACTCAATTAGCAATGCAGGAGAACTGCTGAACTTTGATGCATATGCTGGATGGTGTAACAGCCCCGGCTATTTAGCTGATCAGATGTTTCCCTCTTTGTGTTTGTCCCCTCAGACGGTTCCATCCACTTCTTCAGCAGGAAAAGATGGATTGAGTTTCACAAATCAGTATGGTTCAGTGATTTCCATGGGCGATAATGACATCATCCAGGATTCTTTTGCAAGCGGAAATAAAGTAATATGCGGTGATATGAACAGCCAGTTGCAATTTGGTTCAAGTTCTCCATGTGATGGTTTCAGTTCAATGGAGGAGGTATATGATGGCACAAGCAATTGCAATAAAAAAGAGGATGTAGGGAATAGCCTGGTTCCAAGGGTTACTATGCCATCATCACTGGCTGAGAAAATGCTAGGAGCATTAAATCTTTTCCAAGAATGGTCTGGAGGAGGTATTTTAGCTCAAGTATGGGTTCCAATGAAGAACGGGGATCGGTACATCTTAAGCACTTGTGAACAACCTTATTTACTTGACCAAACACTTTCAGGATATCGTGAAGTGTCTAGATTATTTAATTTTGCTGTGGACTCAAAACCAGGTTCTTTTCCAGGGCTCCCAGGCCGTGTATTTTCCTCAAAGATCCCAGAGTGGACCTCGAATGTGGTGTATTACAATAGGACTGAGTACCTGCGGGTACAGTATGCTGTTGATCATGAAGTCCGAGGATCGATTGCTTTACCTGTATTTGAGAATAATTTGCTAGGGAGCTCATGTTGTGCAGTGCTGGAATTGGTCACAATGAAGGAAAAGCCTGATTTTGATCTAGAGATGGAAAATGTTTGCCGTGCGCTTCAGGTTTGTCTCAACCATTTTTCTTCGCCTTTTATTGCAGGAGTACATGATTCACATTTTTGTATCTACGATATCTGTTATGGCTACATTATTCGCTTAGAGAGTTTAAACTCGAGTTGTGAACACTTTCAGGCGGTAAACTTAAGGAGCGTTATACCTCCAAGACTCTATCCTCAGGTTTCCATCGAACCTCTTTCTTTGATTTGATTGCCTTAATTCATTCCTTTCTCTTTAATCACTTGGTCAGCCTGTTCGTTATAATGATTTTCAGTCTCTCTCCGAGAATCAAAGATCAGCATTAGCTGAGATTACTGATGTCCTTCGCGCTGTTTGCCATGCTCATCGACTACCCGTGGCACTGACATGGATACCATGTAGTCATGCAATGGAGCCTGGCGAAACAGTTAAATTGTGCGATGGAGGGTACAACAGAAGAAGATCTGATAAATGTGTACTTTGCATCGACAGTACTGCCTGTTACGCCAACGACAGTGACATGAAGGGTTTCGTGCATGCATGTAGCGAGCATTATCTCAAGGAAGGACAAGGCATTGTTGGGAAAGCTCTTCAATCTAATCAGCCCTTCTTCTTCCCTGATGTGAAGGAATACCATATAAGTGAGTATCCGCTCGTCCACCATGCCCGGAAATTTGGTCTAAACGCTGCTGTTGCAATCAGGCTACGAAGTATCTACACCGGTGACAATGACTACGTACTGGAGTTGTTTCTTCCTGTTAATGTCACCGGAAGTTCTGAGCAGCAACTTTTGCTTAATAATCTCTCTAGCACTATGCAGAAGCTTTGTAAGACTTTGAGGACTGTTTCGGACGCCGAATTGCTTGAAACAGAAGAGTCCTTAGTTAAATTGGAGGATGCCGAAGCGAGTAAAATGCCGGAAATGAGATTGCCTCGGAGGAGTTCTGAACATTCGTTTATCAGCGGAGATACAATCTCTAGCATGGAGCTTTCAACCAAAAATGTTTTGGAATTGACAAATCCTAGAGGAGAACCTAATGTTCCTCACGAGAAGGTAAGTTATGCACGCCTTAAGTTTTTATCGTTTTATTGCTAAGAATGAATACGATCTTTTATGCATTTCTAAGCTTCTTCCTTCGGTGGCAATGCTCTTGTTGCCTTTTACGACTTTGTAGAGAACTACTGGATCGAAAAAACAGATGGAGAGGAAGCGGAGCACAACGGAGAAGCACGTGAGCTTGAGCTTACTTCAGCAATACTTCTCCGGGAGCCTTAAAGATGCTGCAAAAAGTATCGGTGGTGAGTAATTCGCGAACTCAATCTCATGTATAATTCACGGCGACATATGTTACAAACATTCGACTCTGAATTCTTTCATTTTTCTTGTTTGTAGTGTGCCCGACTACGCTTAAAAGGATCTGCAGACAGCACGGCATTTCTAGATGGCCTTCGCGTAAAATAAACAAGGTGAACCGTTCCTTGAAGAAGATACAGAGCGTGCTCGACTCAGTCCATGGAATGGAGGGAACATTTAAGTTTGATACATCCGTAGGCGGGCTTGTACCCGCCGGCTCTACCATCCAAGAGCTGGACTCGGGAAGAAACGACAACATGTGCAGCGCAGATGACTCCATCAAAGATTCGGATTTGGTAACAAATACAAAATCTGCGGGCGCATCATCTTATCTGGAAATCGGAACTGATCCCATCTTGAAGCCGAGTCCTCCGCAGTATCTGCACAGTCCTCAGAAGTCTCAATCAGCGGCATTAGATGTTCGGCTGTCGTGGCCTGCTAGTCTGAGCAATGTCCCTTGGACAACCTCTCCGAAATTCCCTCCGCCTTCAGGAGAATGGCCATTAGTCGATGATAATAGTAAGATCCCCGCAGCTTCAGATATCCATTGGATTTCTTGCGACTCCACCTTCCCGAACCAGGCTGTTCTTGCCGAGACGGGCGCCAAAACAAACGACGACTGTGCGACGAACCAGGCTGCTGATCAGAACCAACCAACGTCGTCAGGCATGACAGACACGTCGAGCGGGTCGCAATCCGGCTCGATGATTAACGGTAGCTCATCAAGCTCTAGAAGCTTCGGGAAAGGGCAGAATCACAAAACAGAGACAGGCTTCGCCGACAAAATCATAGTCAAAGCGACGTATAAAGAGGACACAGTGCGGTTCAAATTCGATCCCAGCTGCCGGTGTCTTCAGCTTTACGAAGAGGTTGCAAAGAGGTTCAATCTCCAGATAGGCCAGTTCCAACTCAAGTACCTTGACGACGAACAGGAATGGGTGATGTTGGTAAATGATTTGGACCTCCATGAATTCCTCGAAATCTTGGATTTTGTCGGCACTCGCAACGCGAAGCTCCTGGTTCGCGACGTGCCGGTTGCCTTAGGAAGCTCCGGTGGCAGCAACTGCTTCTTGGGAGAATGCACTTGAATCTCCACGAACCCTGTACAGGTGCACTTGTCGATCTAGTTTTTTTTTTTTTATATATCGATCTTGGCATGCCGTAATATAGTAGTATTACATATGTTTTTGAATTTGGATTTTGTAAGAAAAAAAAAACATATGCATGTGTATGTACGTATGTATAAAGGGTGCAAAATATTTAGGATTATAAAGTCGTGTTGATTATATAGCATAGTATGTATTCATTAGGCTAAAGCTTAGTATTCGACGAAACTGCATATTGTTGAAGATCGATTGTTCTAAGTTTTGGGTGATCAGATTGGAATGAAACTCTGGAATGGATCGGAGATTGCTTGGCAGAAGGTATATCCGAATCGACAAATGTTCTGTCGGGTAAGGTAAGAAGCTGATGTTGTTCTTAGCGTTCTTACTTCTTGCGGGTTTGATGATCTTTCTTGGTTGAGAAGAAGCTGTAGATGGGGTGGGGTGGGGTGGGGTGGGGTGGGGTGTCTGAAACATATAATTAGCCTCTACTCTACAGCATGTTGTGTGAATTTTCTTCTTGTTGTTGTTGATGATAAGGAGATTTTGTTCTTAATAAGTTATTGCTCCGATGTTGTCTTGTAGAAAGATATAGAGCGTCTCTATTTAGTACTATAATTTAGATGTTTTTTTAGAGTGTAAATTATAGAACAAGCTGTTTTCGATAAAATGCACAAAGCATTTGTATTTTATGTAAAGTTTGCAGGAAATACTTTTCTTTTTTAAAAATAATGATGTTTAATTTTAAATTAATACCTAGATTAAATAAGTTTTATATAAATAAAAAAAATATAAAATATCTTAAATAAATTTTTTAAATAAATGATCAATTATTTATAACAACAAAGATTAGAGTGAGTTTGTGTTATGTTTGTGTATAAGCTATTTTTATTTTTTTTGATATATTGTGTAATTTTATTTTTTTTAAAAAAAATAATATGTAATTTTTTTTTTTTGAAAAATATCATACTCTCTCTCTTTCTCATTCAAATATATTCTTTTTTTTTTTTGTCATTCAAATTTATTTTCGTTTCCTTTTTTAGTAAAAACATACCATTTTATTTTTTGGAAAGTGATAATTTTATTTATTTAAAAATAATGTATAATTTTATTTTTTTAAAAGTGATACTCCCTCCGTCTCATATACCGTGTCCGCTATACTATACTGTAGACACGGTATTTTAGGAGGGATGTAATTAATAGATAATTAAAAATTTATTAGTGAAATAATTATCATATAATATAAATAATTATAAATTAAGATTAAGATAACTAATTAGTTTAACTAAAATTAAAAAAAATAAATTAAAAATTTTAAAATGAGATTAAAGTGTGTAATCATTTTCCAAAAAAAAAAAGTGACATGAAATGTGTGACGGACAGAAACGGCAATGTGGATATGGTATGTGGGACGAAGGAAGTATAATTTTACCTTTCGAAAAATAATATATAATTATATAGTTTTTTTTTAAAAATAATGTGTAATTATATATGTTTGGGTTATATTATAAAAATAAATTAAAATTGAGGTATAATTTATAAATATAAAAGTTATATAAAATAATAATAAAAAAGGAATTTATTTTTTAGAGTAAAAATTAAAATTTGTGATTACAGTAAAATATACTGTAGCTATTGCAAAAATGAAATAACGAGTTGAAGATGGTTTGAGTAGTAACCTATACTCCACTCCATTTTTGGAATGAAATTTGGGGAGGGGTTCCAAATCACCCCCAAATTCCACCAATTTGAGTAACATTGTACCCTAAAATGGAGTGGAGTTTGCGTGGTGTTTGTTTGTGTATTTTTTTTTTACTTTTTGAGATATAAGGTGTAATTTTATTTTTTTTTAGAAAATGATATATAATTTTATATTTTGGAAAATAATATATCTTTTAAAAAATAATGCATAATTTTATTTTTTAAAAGTGATATATAATTTTACTTTTCGAAAAGTGATATATAATTATATATATTTTTTAAAAATAATGTGTAATTATATATATTTGAGTTATATTGTAAAGATAAAGTAAAAGTGGGGTGTAATTTATAAAATATAAAATAATATAAAAGATGAATACATAGAGAATATATTTTTAGAGTGAAAATTAAAGTTGATGCTGCTGCAAAAATGAAGTAATGGGATGGAGATGGTCTAATAAAAAATAAATTTATTGTATAAAATTCAATTATTGTATTAGTACGCTGGAATATTTCTATTTAGTTTTGTCTTTGTTATTATTATTTGATTTTATTCATTTTGTATTATGTCTATAAATAGCCCCGGCTATATTATTAATAAAATGGATAAATTGATTTTTAGAACTGGATCTCTTTACTATTTTAGTTTTGTAATTGGAGGTTGTCTTGACATGATTCTGTAAGTAAAATTTTTTCGCAATTTAGTCTTCAATGTGGGTGTGGCACTTGCGTGACAGGCTTACGAACGCGTGTCGTCTAGGTCAGCGCCATATGGCTGCGTCATATTGATTATGTTTATTTTTTAAAATATAAAAATTACAAATATAAAAATAAAAATAAAATATATAAAATTAAATAAATTAAAAATTAAAAATTAAAAATAAAATAATAATAACAATAAAAATTCAGCGTCACGTGACTTTTAATAATTTATATATTAGTATATTTTTAATTATATTATTTATTATTTATTTTAAATATAAAAAATATAAATTATCCACGTAGCGGCCATATGGCGTTAATCTGACGAATAATTTTAATTTTTATATTTTTTAATTTTATTTTTGATTTATTTTTTTATTAAAATAATAAAATTTAAAAAATAAAACGTGTTAGCCGCGTGACGCTGATATGACTGATAGTGTCCGCCAGCCTCCCACGTAGATGCCACATAGACATTAAGAACTAAATTGAGAAAATTTTCCACTTACGAGACAATTTTAAGATAACTTCCCGTTACAAGATTAAAATGATAAAGGAATGCAGTTATCAGATTAAAAAAATAGTTTACCCAAATAAAATTTATTATTTTCCTTTCAAAAATGCATATGGTATAAAAGTCAAATTCCTCCCTATAAACCTTAAAAAATAAGCGATTCAACTAGATCATTTTGAGTATATACACACAATACATATACTCAACATCAATCCAAATAGACATACAATAATTATCGAATGTCTTGTGTTGTGACGAATTAGGATTAATGATCGAATAACAAACAAAAACAAAAAGAAGATACAAATTTACGTGGTTCACCAACAATGTATTGGCTATGTTCACGGACAAAAACGGAGAGCAAACTTATTGAGGACGACATTGTTACAGATTACAAATTTCATATCTCTAAATTTATTCAAATAAACTAAGAGAATACATCATTATACTCAGCGAAACCCCCGTAAAAATTCAGCGAAGTGGCAAAGTAGATTCAAGATATATCAACAAATCTTCACATTGACTTGAATTCCACTTACAGATGTATCATTACAATGCCAGATGAACAAATTCATCTATTCTGCTTCAAATTTGCCCTTCCTCGAGCAACTACCAGCTTATGACATTTAGCAAATTCAAACAATGTCAAACTTGCTATGAGAGACCGTTTTGGTGAATATATCAACAGGATTATCAGTAGTTCCTACTTTTATCACCTTGGCTCTCTTCTCGTTCCTAAAAAAATGATATCTCACATCAATATGTTTAGTTCTCTCATGGTGGACCTGATCTTTGACTAAACAGATTGTACTCAAGCTATTACAATACACAACAAGTTGATTATGATGTAGACCAAGATTACCAATTAGTCCTTTTAACCAGATTTCTTCGTTAATAGCTTCTGTCAAAACTCAGCGAAGTAGAAAAATATATTCAAGGTGTATCAACATCTTGGATGAATATTCACCAGTATTATCAAGACGAATTTTCTTTATTGGGTGATCTGAAAATTGTACTCGTAATCTAATTATTTGAGCAAGTAACCTCGCAAATGCCAAATTTCTGGGGAATAATAAATATACTTGCAATCATCTAATAGATGCATCGATAAGTACCATAAATTATCTAAATGGTCACATGGTGGATCTACTGACCCACATATATTACCTTGAATTCGTTTTAAAAATACAGGAGATTCAGCTTTCACTTTTGCTGGTAATAGTTTAGTTATTAACTTCTATTTTGAGCAAGTAACACATTTAAGCTCATTTGTATTGTATATCATTTGATTTTTCAAAGTATGGTCATGTGTATTTTTAATAATTCATCTCATCATAATATTATTGGGATGCCCAAGCCGGTTATGCCAAATAATGAAATCTATAGACTTTTGGTCTATCATATATGTTTCAACTGCATTAATCTTTGTATAATGTAACTCGAAAGACAAGGAAGACAATTTTTCTAATATATATTTGTGTCTATCAATGAGTTTTGTAATAAACAAGAATCCATTATTTGCCTCATTTGATATTTCAATATGATATCAATTTATGCGAATATCATTAAAATTTAGCAAATTCTTTGAGATTTGCTAGAAATAAGTGCATTTTCGATTTCAAGTTTTACTCATCCAGTGAGAAATATTATTGCTTTTCCTGAGCCCTCAATGAATTTTGCACAACCACTTATAGTATTCACCTAATTTTTTTCCAACTTTATGTTAGCGAAATTTCTTATATTTTAGGATGATGTGTGTTGACGCACTACCAATAAGATTTAACTTGTCTTTTATATTAGGCTAAATTACACAAAATTCACCTGTGGTTTTATGAAATTGCTTCTAAAACTGCGTCAAACTCCCTCGTGGTTTTATAAACTTTGCATCTAACCCCTTCAGCGGTCCTTATTTAACGGTATTTGACCTAAATGCGCTCAAACTGCAAATAATTTTTAGAATCTCAATTTCTAAACCCCTAAAATTACAAATATATTTATTCTATATATATATATATATTTAACCTAAAAAATAGTAAAAATAAACTCTTAAAACCTAAAAAAAATAACTATTTTTGAGTATATTTACTATTTTTTTAGGGTAAATATAAAAAAATAAATATAGTTGTAATTTTAGGGGTTTATAAATTGAAATCGTAAAATTTATTCGCAGTTTGAACGCATTTAGGTTAAATACCGTTAAATAAAGACCACTGAGGGGGTTAGACGCAAAGTTTATGAAACCACGAAGGAGTTTGACGCAATTTTAGAAGTACGGAGGATTTGGTGCAATTTGATAAAATCACGGGTAAATTTTTTACAATTTAGCCTTTATATTATTTATTATAGTGCGTTGATGCACTATTTATTATTATTATTATTATTTAAAATTTTATTATTTCTTAAGATATTCTGAAATAGCATGGTTTGTTGTTTTTATATAATAATTTCTATAAATATTATTAAAAAATAATATACACATAGCATATCATCTCATATATATCATATATTTGACAAGAAATTTGAAATTATTTTGTTTTATAAA